CAGTCGATGTATACAACATGAATCCCCCGCGGCGGCAGCCACGCGTGGCCGCGGACCGCTCGGCTGCCGTAGCGGCCAATGGGGGGGCGGGTGCAACAGGGTTTGGGTCTCATCGGGATTGTAAAACCCCAAACCCACCCCCCCACTGAAAAAAAACACAAAAAAGGAATTTCTGGTGGGGGTGTTGTTGTTGCGGGGAGGGAAAAAAAAAAAAAAAAAAAAAAAAAACCTTGATTGATTGATTGATTGATTGATTGAATGAATGATTGATTGATTGATTGCGATTGATTGATTGATTGATTGGTGGGGGAGGTGTTGCCGCCCCTCAGGTTTTTTTTTTTCTTCACGTTTTTTCTTTTTCGATTGATTGATTGATTGGTTGATGGGTAGGGCATGCCAGTGGGTCCTACCCCCCCTCACACACACACACATTCACACACACACACACACACACACACACACACACACACACATGACAAAACGCACACTCGCACTCTTTTTGCTGTTCACTTTTTTTTTTTCAATTTCTTTTCACTTTTTTCTTTCTTCAATTGATGATTGATTGATTGGTGGGGGAGGGGGCAACCCCCCCTTCCCCCCCCCCGGGGGCACACGCACACACACACACACACACACACACAACCAAAAAAAAAACAAAATTTGAAAAAAACACTTGTTTTTTTTTCGCAGTTTTTTTTTTTTTAGTACCAAAAAATAAGCGGCAGCGACTGGCCCATTGAAGAAGCTCGGTCCTGATGCTACCGGCTGACCCCTGGCCGGTATCGCCCACCTGCTGTAGCAGGTATCGCACCTGCTGGTGGGTGCAGCTCCCGCATGTTCCCTCGTTGGAGGCTTGAGCACGGATGTGGCTGCTACGGGGTTCCCTGTAATACTATAATGACAATAAAAAAAGGCCTGAAAGGCCGTCCTGTCCAGATTTGACAGGTAATTGAATTGGTTGGGCTTAAAGAATTAGCCTTTATAAGAAAATATGGGGTTGTAAGGTTCGAGAAACCCTCCCATTTCTTTTTTTTTCCCCCTCCAATGCTTTCAGCAGGGGAAAATCCCGGAAGTCCTGTGGCCGCGGCTCATCTGCGGCCGAGCTTTGTGCCGCGGGCTGGGACCCTGCGGCCGTGGCCGTGGGTGATACATAGCATACAACCCAGCTTTCTGGCCGATAGGATGCCCGAAGTGCAATTGCAACCTGTATCTTGCCCCATAGTGCAATTACAACTCGTTTTTGTGACTCTACTGAAGTTAACCCCCCCCCCCAAAAAAAAAAGAAAGAAAAGAGAGAGAGAGAGAGAGAGAGAGAGAGAGAGAGAGAGAGAGAGAGAGAGAGAGAGAGAGAGTCCCGGTGTCGGGCGGCCAAATCCAATTGGCCTCCCGAAATGAGGAGGTGATGGGCGTACATCTACTAAGGGCGTCGTTAGACACTCCTCGGGGACGTAAGATCCACAAGGACGCGCTCGTTCCACTTGTCCTTGGGGACGAAATTGAAAAAGAAATGTGAAAACGCCACAAGGAAAATTCCTTGTGGCGTCCTTGTGGCCCCAGCCAAAATTTCCTAATCGCCAAGGGACCTCGCGAGGTCCCTTGGAGCTCAAGGAACCACGATTCACGGAGTGGCGAAGACATGTGTCGACGAAGAGTTTCGGTTCTTGGGTGGTCCAGATGTGGTCCAATGGCGTTAGTACGGACATCCCCGCCCTCCAACGTCTGCGTAGTACCCCAACGGCCTCCAACGGTTACCGTTGGCGGTGGGCCTCCATTGGGTGGCGTCGTCGTTTTCGACCGGTGTCGTGCGGCATTCCATGCTTGAGGAATGTCCGCAGTGGTCGTGACCGACCTGTACCGCAGACTCCCTCTGCTGCTCTTCGTTGCTGTGCTGCTTCTAGTGGTCCCCATGCTGCTCCCTTTGCTGATCTCCAGATGTGGCATTGCTGCCCTGTCCACTGTGTCGTTCATGGCCGACCTCTGCCGCAGGCTCCCTCTGCTGCTCCTCGTCGGTGTGCTGCTTCTCGCATTGCCGAAGGTCTTCCCACGCGCCCCCTATCCTGCGTTTCATCCACCACCTCAGCATCGCTTGCAGAATGTCACCGCAACCCAACGCGTAACACAGCTGAATCACAGCCTCCGAAGTCGCTACGTCTTCAGGGCCGTCATGTGCAGCTTGCATCAGCATTTTTCTCCTTCGCGCGCACAGCTGCGCCTTCATTCGTCCCAACGCCCTCTTCTGCTGACAACGAAGGACAACGGCAGACACGGCTGCCGCCACGGCCGTCCTCTCCAGCGGAGTCATCAACACACACCCCACCTCTCCGCCACCCTCCATCGCCAACACTTCCACATGAATGATGTGCCTTCACTGTTGTGAGGATGATCGCCCCCATGACACTTCCGCAAAGTTGCTCCCTTTGGGTCGGCGTCGCTCTCCTCGGAAAACTGTGCTGAACACCCCCGCAAAGTGGCATGTGTCGATGGCGATGGGAGCTACCACTGTGCGCTCTCGGGAGGGACGCTGCTGCAAAGCCCGATTCGCTAGTGCCCCGTCCTCGCGCCACCTGCCGATGGTTGTACTCGTCGTCACAGCGGCACTTCAAATTTTGAAGGTCCCCTATTTTTTACTCTTTTTTGTTGCCTGGCCCTGCCTTTTCCCGCCGGGCGCCGCTGGACCACACAGTCTCCCGACGGGCACAGGACGCTGGACCACGGACACTCCCCCCCCGCTGCCACATATAATCGTATGAAAACTGCCGCAGGCAGGCCACAAGGAAACGCCCTCAGTGGTCGTCCCCAAGGATGCGACCAAGGATATGTGGAACGAGGCAGCAAGGAAACTTCCTTGTAGCTCGAGGAAATCGTAAGGAGTGTCTAACGACGCCCTAATACTGACAAGTTCTGGCGCTATCTCTGTCTGGTGAGGAATGGAAAAACAGGGCACACACCCGTTTTACGTCCCCACAACCCTCTATACTAGACTCGCTATTATAACAAATATCAGATTATTTATTTTACTTTTGGAGCCACCTTACTACTGCGATTTTGACCCTATTTCGAGCTCCATCGGAGCTTGGCCTCAACCTCGTGCACGAGA